GTGAGTGAGACAGGTTATTCAGTCGTCCACTCCGATGTTGCGGAACAGGTAGGACATGGACTCTCCGTTGTGGATGCGGCGGATGGCCTCTGACAGGATCATGCTGATGTCCACCGTCTTGATCTTTGGACACTGGAGCTTCTGGAGCTCGTGGGGAATCGTGTTGGTCACCACCACCTGGAGACAATGACACACGTGAGGAGGCGGCGGCCATGCTGACGGAAGCCTAAGAAGGACAACTCACCTCATCGATTGCGGACTCCTCTATGAACCTGGGGGCGTCTGAGGAGAGGAGGCCGTGTGTCGCCATGACAAAAATCTTGTAGGCCCCTCTTTCCTTCAGCGTCTCCGCTGCTGCCACGAAGCTGTCCACATCATCGATGATGTCATCCTGGGGACAAACGGGCATGGTTTTAAATGTGCTGAGGACAGTCCGCCCCACCCAACCTCCTTTCGGTGTTCCTGATGCGGCGCAGTAATTTTGCCTAGCTCACCCTCCTCTCTCAGTTCTTCCCACATGGATGTTGAACTTTTATTTTTACGTTATCATCGGTAATTTGTTCAGGAAACTTACATTCAGTAAATCTTCTAGTGCTCCAATTAATGATCAGTTTTAGAACTGATTTGCACACTCACACCCATCCAGAACTGCAGTTTACTGAAATATGGCAAAGAAAAGAATCGAATTCTCACTGAGCGTTTTCCACCTGGGACACCTACTGCAGGTAAAGCTTGTTCCTCATACTTCAGACCTGCTTATAGAACAAAATGTCTGAGTTTGCGTCAGTTAGCGACTACGCAGCTTACTGGGGCTAATCTTTGGAAAACACCCAGAAGCTGTTCTAATGGTCATCAAGCCCGGTCTGTACTGATATATACCAAGGTTTCAAAACTGCTCGTTCAGGGCACAGAGGAGCGGGGTCATTTTCCACATTACTCAACAACATTCCTCCTTTTCTGACTGAGTGAAAGAGTCGACCCACACCCAGACAGTTCAGTTCGACAGGACAAAAGTGAGCAAAATCACAAGATTTAATGTTACGTTATGGAAACATGTTACTGTAACAGCTGTGCAGCTATCTCCTCTTTGTCCTGCTAGTCTTTAGAGGCCAATTTCTGCAGATTACCAGTGTGACTGAATTCAACTTCATGTTTGTATGAAAGACCTGTGAGTGAGTGAGCTGGCACTCCAAGAATCATTAACCCTTTAAGACCTACCACAGAACCAAGTCCGCCAGAGCTTAT